ATACCGGTGCTGGCCGAACTCCGAATGCAGCCGGCATAAGCGGCGAGGAAGATCTATGGAGGAGAAAAAAGCCCGGATGACCCCCTAGCTACCCCTGCCGGTCACATAACGTAATTAATTGTATAATTGTAATTTTATGATATGTACTTTGTGAGCCGCCCAGAGTTCCCCATTGGGGGGAGATGGGCGGACAATAAATGTATAATTGTAATTTTATGATATGTACTTTGTGAGCCGCCCAGAGTTCCCCATTGGGGGGAGATGGGCGGACAATAAATGTATAATTGTAATTTTATGATATGTACTTTGTGAGCCGCCCAGAGTTCCCCATTGGGGGGAGATGGGCGGACAATAAATCGAATGTATAAATAAATAAATAAATAAATAAATTACAACAAAGTCATACTGAAAAGATGACTGCCCTCTGTCAGCACGAGGGTGCACTTTTCCTCTTATACCCATAGCAGTTTAAACCTGTTTTTTTCTCCTCCTGCTCTTCCCACATTTCAATGGACTTTTTGACCAGGCCTTCATGGCCTCGAAGCCAAGCCTTTGCTGGTTACTGACATAACTGATATCTGTACACTGAGAAATGGTAGCCCTCAGGTGATCTCTCACATTCAAAGTTGATTTCTTCACCTTCATGAATAGCCTATTCATTATGAGAATTTATGATTGATGAATATTTTCTCTGAATTATAAGGCATTTTTCCATTCACACAGAGACTACTAACTAATGGCAATTTTAAAACAAATTTTAGGTTTCATTCGCAAAGAAATTTAGAGGAAGATTAATCACACTGAGCTTTGTTGGATATGTTTAAAATTACACAATTTAATCAAATTGCACAGATACTTGAGGTAAATCTCAATGATTTAAAAGTGTTTCTAGATGCAAATTACTATGACATACATGCCTAAAAATAGTATTACCAATCTAACTTGACACATTCCACTTGCAGCTTGTGGCTTGTATGTTCTCTTTCATAAAATATGTTGACTTACAACTCAGTCTAACTTTTATCCTATATACTAAAAGCAAAAAAACCAAAACACCTCTTAGTTTTAATGCCATTTTAAAATAATTTTTTTTTAAATAAAAGCCCATTTTCATGTGTGGTGGGGAAAAGTTGCTAAGACAGCTATGTCTTCAGTACAGTATAACAGCTGTCTGAGAGCTTATTGTTCCTTCTTCCTGAATGGTATGAGGAAATAGAAGAGACAACTGAACAAAGTCTATCTATATCATGGTAAATGAATGACATAAATAGATCAAAAGAAGAACAGTTATAGGAAAACATCACCTTTGAGACACATTAGCATCTGTTTAAAGTACTATATTTTTCCATAAACAATTTACCTGTAAAGGGTGGTGAAATGGAAATGGCTGTTGTCATCTTCCAAGCATGAATGTCTTGGAAGATGAGACTGAAGTTCTTCAGTTGCCTGGAAAGGGCTGCTTCAAACTGAATTTAACACTTTTGGTAAGTCCTAAAGAGTTAGTCTATGCAAAGCACTTGAGAGAGGAGCTTCACAAAGTACATTAGAGCAAATGAAACCCCTCTTTTCAAAGCATTAAAATAGTATTCTTTGCAAGGCTTGTGTGGCTGCTTCAAAAGCTGTTCAAACATGCACACACAGACATTTCCCAAGAGGCCACCAATGAAAAGAAGTGGCCCTTCATGCATACACATGCATATACAAGCTTTGCAAAGAATATGGCTACTTTAAAGCTTTGAAGAGAAGTACATCACCTCTTTTAAAAGTTTTCCATTGAGAATCAAACTGGCTTAATTCTCTTTTTTCCTGTCTTCTCCACCCTGTTTTGTTTTCTATTTTCTTTTCCCTTCCAATGCAGATACTCTTTCTCTTATTCATCTTCTTATTTAATTTTCTTCTTTTTCTGTTTCTGCTCAAAAGAAACAGAATGTATTTGTGAGTGTAGTGTGTTTCGGTGTATGACAGAATGCTTGATATATGCAAATGAACATCAATTTTATAAATGGGACATCTTATTCTATTAGCAACATTTCAACTTCTACTTACTAATCATTAATATATATTTATTTTTAATCCTGGCTCCACTTTCTTTCAGAATGTTGCTATGGCAGGTAAAATTTACAAATATTCATACATAAAATTTATTGGTTGGAGATCTTTAGGACTAGTTTCATCCAGAATTGGAAACAGTAGGTCGACAAGATAAAAAAAACAAGGCACTTGTTTGTCAATGTTCATAATTTTTTCTCTCTAGCTTTGTTTTTTGAGATCTTAAATTCAGAGGCATCTTCCTTTGAAGTAAATACAGTACCTACTTTCTCCACTGTCATGCTCAATTTAGCTACAGTGGATGATTCAGCATCAGTGCAATGATATAGTAATTCATCTTACAAGACAGTAAGTATTTCTAGCATTAATTTCACAAATGAATGGGCAGAGGAAAGGCATCCATTCAAACAGGGAAAGTTTTAAAAATGAAGAACTGAGCAACTACCATGCAATTAAAGGATTATTTGAAGAACGTTAAAAACTATGAATAAATTCTGCAAGATCTTGCAATTCTTAGTTTAACTATTCAAACATTGAAGCAAAACATACTGCCTCAAACTAAGATCAGGAAACTGAAAATCATCACCTGAAGGAAAAGGGGAGACTATATAAGTCCAAGTTTCTTCCAGGCTCATTCACCTCTAAATAGTTTATAAATTCAGTTTATAAATTAGTAAATGAAATTACTTTCATGTGAATATGTGGAACCTTTAGACCCCCACCCCATGGCAGAGAGACACATTACAGGGTATATCATTCTGAACCTCATGTATTGCTATCTGCTCTATGCCTGTGTCAAAAGACAGTATATCAAATGTATGCAATATACTGAACCGCCCCACTTGAAATGTACTATAAATATAAAAGGCATATCTTTTTTTCCTAAAGCACGAATAGATTTTAGAAACCACAAAAAATGATATAAACAGTCATCATTTACATGCATACATATGTACAAATTGTTACCATATAGCCTTGTGTTCTTTAACTCAGACTATTCTAATTTGGATTGTATTGCCCTACCTAGGGACCACCACCGCCACCACCACCACCACCATCTATCCTGCCTTTATTTGTACAACTCAAGGCAGCATACATAATGCTTCTGACTATTTTTCCCACAATAACAACCCTGTGAGGTGTGTTACGCTGAGAGAAAGTAACTGACCCAAAGGCATACAGCTGGCTTTCATGCCTAATGGAAGATTATGGTTCTAACTTGGTTCTAGGTTCTCATGGTTCTAGTTTCTGGTCCAACAGAATGGTTCTAGTTTCTGGTCCAACATCTTAACCACTACACCAAAGTGGCTTGTACTTGCATGTAATTTTGTCCTTCATCACTACTGACTTGCAGCATCCAACTAAGGAGGAAACAATCAACAGTTCTCCCATTCCCCCAAAAAGCAGCAAGATCTGGATCTTGATGTAGATGCTTTAAGGTAAAAGTGAAAAAGTGCAAAATGCCAAAATCACTCCTGTGGCACTCCAGAGTGGGTAGAGTCAAAGCCTTACTTTTTTCATATTTTTTTTTAAATTTTGAAGTGGAGTTAAGGGGCAAAATTGGTGCTTCAAGCTGCACAAAGTCTTAAGGCAGAGAAAAGGCAT